CAAGGTAAGGATCCCAAAGAACAGCCCCCTGCCCAACTGTACATACGCTACGCGCCAGGCCATCTCGCTCAGCCTGGTACAGAGCGAAGATGAGAGCTGTGACAGGCACCGGACGCTCCCCAATAGCCCTGCTTCAGAAGGACGCCGTTCAGCCTCCAGCTGTTCCTGTCAGCAGTCCCCCAAAGCAGCCAGGGCTCACGGCTCTTCCCAGAGCAGTCCATTCAGCAGCCCTCCCCAAATCCCGAGCGCCTTCGCCAGCTCTGCCAGCTCTGAGGAGGACCTGCTGGCCAACTGGCAGCGTATGTTCGTGGACAAGGCACCCCCCACCTCAGAGCGGGTGCTGATGAACCGCACAGCCTTCAGCCGTGACACGGCCCCTGAGCTCCAGAAGAGGTTCAGCCGCTCCATGCAGGAGCTGGGTAGGGCAGCCTTGGCTTACTCAGATGGTGAGGAGTCTGCGCAGAGCTGCAGCTGGACCGTGAGCCGGGACTCGAGCGTGGACACAGACAGCACTGAGTCCAGAGCCCGAAGGAGCCATTTCTCCTCAGACTATGGTACAGATTTCTCCCAGGATGAAGCCCAGAAGCTGTTGCAGGGAAGTGGTGGAGACGCTGCTGAGCCTGGAAGCCCCTCACCAGAGAAGCACAAGGATTATGTGGACCTTGGCTTGCTTGAGAGTCCAGCTGATGAGAAAGAAATGTTGCTCCCGGGAAGCAAGGAGAGCAACCAAGGAGGTGCCCAAGAAGAAAGTGGAGAAAGTAGAGTCAAACCTCTGTTCAGTCGGCCACACCGCAGCCCCAAGAGGATGGGGGTCCACCACTTACATCGCAAGGACAGCCTGACACAAGCCCAGGAGCAGGGCAACCTTCTCAGCTGAGGCAGGGCAAGAAGCTGCAGAGCTCTGGGCTGCCTCCATCTGTCCACCTCCTGAGGGAGAAACCTCCCTCAGTACGCTCCTCCCGAGGGGACTCTGCTCTTTTGCTACCTGGAAGAGCTGAGGTCCCCCTTCCCTGGCACCTCAGACCCACAGTACTAGCACACGCAGTGTGCAGAAGCACACCCACTGCCCCGGCACCCTTGCAGCTCTCCTTGCAGCCTCACACTGGTGCCTGTACCGGAGCTCGTTCTTGGTACCCCTTGTCCTGGTGCCTGTGCCTCTTTATGCTCGCATCTCCCTTTCCCCTTCCCGCTCAGGTACCTGAGGCCCCGGGTGCTCTCATGCTGGTTGCCCGCAGCTGCTCTGCTCTCTTTTAACTTGTGCCAACAGGGCAGCGTGCCTGCGTGGTGGTGTCTGATTCCAGGGGCCGCGAGTGGGGCATGAGGACTCTCCCAGCGGATGGGGCTGTGGGCCCCTGGGGATGTACTGGGATTGCTGGTGTGTCATTTTTCCTGCAGGGTTTTGTTTTCCTCGGCTGCCCTCTGGGTGGTTCTCCAGAATCTGCCTCTGCAGGTCCCCATTTCTTGGCTCCTGTGTCAGGCTCAGCACCCAGCCCCAGCTAAGGCAAGACACAGACGCTGGTGCTGTGGCGTGGGGCGTGGGGGCTGGCTGCCAGGGCGGTTCGGAGAGGCACTGCCTGCTAGGCGCTGGGGTTTGTGTGTCTCCTCCCTCACACTTCTCCCACTCTGTGCTGTTGTTTTGTTTGAATGGTGCTGATGCTTTGCTCTTGGGTGGGCTTCTTTCTTCTTTCCAAGCCTTTGGTTTTAGGGTGTATTGTTTTTTCTTTCTCCCCGCCCTGCATAAACAGACACAGTCGTTGGCAGCTGGTTGGATGCCTGCGTTGAGGGTGTGTTGAGGAGGCTCAGCACTCAGAGCCGCGCTTCCCTCTGATCCTGGCCTCCAGCCTGCAGAAACCCCTCCAGCCTCCAGAACAAGGTCTCGCCCCAAGGTGTGAAGGATGCTACTGGGCTTTTCTGAGCAGAGCTTGGTGCAGGGCTGGCAGGGATGCGAGGGCAGCGTGCTGAGGAGCTGCCCCCCGCAGACACACTACCTCATGGCTCAGCAGCTGCCCTTTGCCAGGGTCTCCTCGCATGCCCCCTTCTCTGGGGTGGGGGGGCTCCAGGCTGGCTCTGCCACCTCTCTGGGGCCTCCCCTCTGGGTAGAGCCTCTCTGCACGTTTTTCCTTGTGTAGCGTGATACCGTGTGACTTTTCTTCACAGTCTTGTGTGCTCAGTGTCTTGTTGGGGAGGGAGGGAAGGGGAGAGGTCTGTAGATGTAGGTTTGGTTTTTCTTTTTGAGGGCTTACAAAGCCCAGGTGTCCTGTTTTAATTTTTGTCCTGTGCCCTTGTCTGTCTGGTGTTTCTTGGCTCCCCCAGGGGTGCGAGGCAGAGAATAGCCTGGTTCCCTGCGCTGTATCCCCCTTGCACCCCACTGGGTGTCCTCAGCCTGCTGTCTGTTAATTTTGAGTTGGGTTTGCGTTTTCTTCCCACCCTACTCCATGAGGGCTCTTTGCTGGGTTGTAGGAGAGCAGCCCTCTGGCCAGGAGGGAGCTCCATTCATACACTCACAGCCAGAGGAGCAGCCGAGAGCTGCCTGGGGGGCCCTGCTCCCCCCTGCAAAACCCTGCAGCTGGGGCCAGCCCGGGCTTCAGCTCGAGCCTGGAGGCGCCAGGGCCTGTGAAAGGGAGCGTCTCTCTGGCAGCCGTGTAGGTTGGTTTGTGTTCCCTGGCTAGAGCTGCTGCCTACACACTTGCCTTGTTTCCCACCTCGAGCAGTTGTGGAGCTGGATGCCACCCTTTGGAGGAGAGGTGGGACGTGGTATTACACTACAGTATTTCACTTGATACCTGCGTGAACGGGCTGGTGCTGAGAGCGGGAGCCTCCTCTGAGCTTGCAGGGTGTCCTGAATGTGGCGGAGAGGTCCTTGTGTTTGCTCTCATCAGCCATGCCACTGCTGCATTTCTTCTGTTCTTCTGCAGTGTTGCTAAGGGCTTGTACCTGCGCAGGCTGCCAGCTCTTGCCTCACTGACATCGCCTGGCGCTGGGTGCTCACTGCGTGTGCTCCTCTGGCTCTGAGGCTGCTGCTGGCCTGCCTGTGGGACAGCACAGCCACTTGGGGGCGACTGCAGCGAGTTGGGCAGCGGGGGAGGTATCGCCCCTCGGAGCTCAGCCCCATCTCCCCTGAATCCTGGCGTGCTGCTCAGGGGACAAAACCTACTCTTGCTGAAGCAGCTGGTGCTGATGGTGCTGGGCAGAGCCACCCTCCCTCTGCTTAAGGAAAACAGCGGAGGCATGGAGGGCTGGCAGAGGGGTGCCCGATGCCTCGTCAGATACTTCACCTTTGCAGCATGAGGCTGCTGGCAGAGGTTGAGGGGCAGCAGTGGCCTCAAGAGGAGCAGAGCGCTCTCTGGGTGGGCACGGTGCCTGCCCTCTGCTCCCCTCCAGCAGTATTGGCTCTGGGGCCTCGAGCTGATCCCACTTTCAGTGTCCCAACTCCTGACTGTTAATCTGTAACTAATGTGTTGGTTTTTTTCTGAAATTTTCAGACTGATGTATATTTTAAGACCAGAAATAAACTATTTTAAAAGTAGGTGGCGATGGCTGTAGTGGTCTCTGTTGGTTAACACCTGGACCTGACGGATCCTGAGCACAGGAGGCAGCAGAGCCTCTCCTAGTACAATGTCCCAAGTTTGCTGAACTGCAAGTGCCACAAAGTGGCTTAAAAAAAGGGCAGATGTTTTAATGTTTCCCCAAGTTGCCTGGTTAAATCCTGTGGGCAATTTCCACATTAATTGAAGGCTGTAAAAGGCCAGGCTTGTTCTGTCAAAGCCTCTGCATTGAAGCCTCTCGTGCTGGGAGCAAGCTCAGTGTTACTCATAAAATTCTGCCTACCCCATTGTAAGTATTTTGCTGGCTGTCCTTCTGTCTGATCTGTGTCTTGGCAAAGATCTGCAGGAGCTGATTTACGATGAGGTGTAGCTAATTCTTTTAATAGTTGTTGGTTTTCTTGAAGGCCCAGCTCTCACAGTTGTGTGAGATGATCAGTTCTCCGTTTCAGAAACCGAGTTACGTGGGGACACGTAACATACCCCCCTGTGGAATTCACAAGAGTTTTGTCTCAGTATCATTCTAGTGTCAGTATTTTGTGGTTTTTTCTTTGTGTGGGGAGGATTGGGGTTGATAGGATATGCCCCAGCTAGGAAGCCCTCCAACCATGAGAAGAGTTTCTGCAGGATGCTGACTGGGACAGCTGGACGTGTTCCCTTTCCGTGGTGAAGGGTGCTGCAGCAGTCAGAGGGCTGTGGCGATATTTCCTCCATCTCCCACCTTAGGCTCTCCATGCCCTTCTGACCTAGGTGTATGCAAAGCGTAACACAGGGAGAGTTTCTCATCTCTTTGTTCCCGTAACGCTCTCATAATTCATGATTTTATTTTGCCTTCCCTCGAGCAGCAGCTGCTGACACAGTTTAATCGCGCAGCCTCAGCCGAGCCTTGAAACACAACCCTTCCGTGCTTGGCTGCACCCAGGCCACCTGGGCGAGCAGCGGGACCTGCAGGGGACAGGGAGGGGGCCTGGGGGACAGCCCATGGGGCTGTGACCGTGTGTCCCCCCCCCAGGGCCAGGTACAGCGCAGGGGACGGGACGGGGGCTGCTGCCCCCTGGCGGCGCGGCGGGCGCCAGCGCGGTCCTGGCAGAGCGACGGGGACTCACGGGCCTCGCGCTGCCACGAGCGATGCCACGCGTGTGACCTTTATAAAACTCTCATCGTGACAGCAGCACAAGCGATAGAAAGAAACATCTCTTATACACATCTGAATAAATACAGCCTGCGCCCCGCGGGCACAGCCGGGGTGTGGGGGGAGGCAGGGCAGCGTGAGCCACACATGCAGCGATGGGACAATCACAAGCGGCCGACGACAACACACAGACGCGTGTAGAGATTCGCTCGGACCAGGCTCTGGCACTCAGAGAGCCAAGGGAAGCGTCAATGGGACGTGAAATGCGTGAGAAGGTGGCTGGGGCAGCCC